ATCCTACTGGAGGAAGACGGAGGAGGTCCGGTTCCTTTATGTACAGTAGTTTCCAACTCTATTAGGTTCTTGGAATTGCACTGTAACGTCGTTACGTAGCGCTCGTTTGTTTGGTGGGATACTTGTCCCACGTTTGGTTCATTGGATTCACGCTCGGGATGGTTTGATTGGTCCGGGATGAAAATGCTTTTTATCCCATAAATATAAGGGCACGTTTGTTAGGGGAGACCGAATTAGATAATTTTTATCTAAGGACCTAAGATTGAGGTGTAGAGATAAGAATACACTTATGTTTGTTATGTTTGATTAACTAAAGACAAGACTATTATCATAATTTATTTTATGTGTTTGTTTCCCTAGATAAAGAATAGGATTGAATGTACATTTACAGATATGCCCCCTATTTAACTACATTATTTTAATCATCATAATTTGTATTATGTATTTATTTTCCGAGATAAAGAATATGATTATATAAAGATTTACAAATATGATCTTCATTTTAAACTACATTATTTTTTTATCCTCCCCTTGTTGGTTATATGTTCGAGAGCTTCATGTATTTTGCATGGCTCTAATATTTTTACAGCAAACAACTTCTCCTTTTTTTTTTAATTATTTTTTAATTTTTTATATAGATACAATAATGGCTTTTTTACCTAATTATTGTGGTTTTATATTCTGTGCGTAGATCCTTTTGAGGCTAGTTTACATATCGAGCATTTTTTGTTTTTCCCCATTTCAGTAAATTAATATCTAAATACGACTACATAATATAAGCAAATCCAAATCAAATGAGCCTGAAGAGACCTTTAAATATTGAACAAAAAACATATTAAACAGAAAACTAATTAAAACAAGAAAAAAAAATCCTTCTTAACATTAAACCAAACGAATCAAATATTAATTCTTAATCATCTCCCCTGAAAATTCTCAAGAAACATGGGAGAAACACAACCACCCTAGAATCCTTATAACCCTCGCAATTAACGTGAGCAATAGACATATCAAAGACTCCAAACTGAGTGCGACTCATAGAGTCGCCAACAAAAACGACTCTCGTATTCCGCAGTGCTTCCAGAACACGCCACAGGTTAACTCTTGGGATTTCACAGTTTTTGGGCTCCACCTCCATTTCAGATAATCCTCATCCTCACGGCCGCTTATCAAGCAGTAAACCCTTGCTCCAATAAAGGGCACTCCGAGGCATTATACCCTTGCTCCACATCTCAAATCCTACTTGATATATAAAGATTTATTATTCTTTACTAGTTCACAACAGCTAAAAATCCTTTCAACAGTTTATTTGCTTTTATAATTTTCTTCATATATTGAAAATATATCCAAATTACAAAATTTCAATTAGTAGCAGGGTCAAAAGCTCCTTCAATGGCCCACGTCATTTTTCAGCACAAATTATCCCACATCACAAATAAATAATCAAGATCACCCTATTGACAATAACCACACAAATCAATACTTCATTATCTTAAAAACTAAAATATAATCCACATACAAACATTATGCCATCAAAAAAGTTACCTGGAATAGGAAATACTGGCAATAGTCATTTGTGAGTGTCTGAGACGACTTAATGATCTGGTGCAAGTTGATGTCCATAAGCTTGTAAACCTTCTAAGACGACTTAATGATCTAGTGCAAGTCGGTGTCCATAAGCTTGTAAACCAAGTACACATCCTTGAAACTCCCCTTGTGATTAGGCAGCATTGCATCTTTAAGAGCTATAACATTCTCATGTTGAAGGTTCCTGATAACTTAGAAGCTTTAACTCGCGTAGGGTTCTCAAAGCATCAACTCTATTTTTGAAGGCATTGTGTATCTTCTTGATTGCAACCTTCTCACTGGTCTCTCTTTTGACCAACGAGCATACTATCCCATAGTCCCCACATCGATGGGCTTGATCAGCACATATTTCGGGTCAATTTTGAAAAGTGTCTGCTACATGGAGTAGCAATGCTTTCTTTGGGATCGGATCCCATTCGGAGGTTCAACTGGATTTGCCATGCTATTTGAAACCATCATTCGAAATATTAGAGTTTGAACAAAAATGAGAGTCGATACGTTGCAAATTATACCAAAGGTCAACATCCGCAATAAAATCTCACCAAATCTAACACAATTTTTTTATAGGGATGAGCATTTCCCTTTCTAACCCAATCAATAATTAATATGGGACTGCATAAATAGCAACTTTTCTCAAGAAATCCATGAACACATACAAGAAGCATTGATGAATCTCTTCCATGTAATGCGAAATACGGGAGATTATCCTATTCAATAAATAAGATAACTTGAGAATGTAACTCTGAGCCTCCAAGATATAATAAGCTATACAAGATTTAGAGGCAAATGCCTCCACATTAAACTGTAAAATTCCCTCGTAATAAAAACCGATCTTAAACAAAATAGAACAACCGTATAGATAAAAAATCGGCAGGTGTTAAAAAACTCGATTGTAAATAAAAACTTTTCGTAAAAAGATGGAATTTCCTTATTTGTTTCACCCAAAAAGCGTACAATCACACATAAGCCACAAAATTTCGCAAGAGAGACGAAAATATACCACGAACAATTCCCAAAAAAAGCGAAAAGAAAAACAATAAATAAGGTTAAAAAAGATAGAGATGACAATCGTACCAGATCTGTAACGGCATCATACAAGAAGCCGTAGTGCCGGTATCGACAGGGGCAAAAGAAGAAGCACGATGAGGGAATCGTGAGATAGCGGTGGCCGCTGGCTCAATTGCCGGCGGATGTAGGGAGAACGACAGCGGTCAAACAGATTTGCACCGACGGTGCAAGAAGAAACAGTAACCGATAGTTTCTTTTATAATGGTCATTGTGTAATTTTTGTACTAAATGAGGTTAAATTGGTCATAATAATTTACTTTGGGGGACACAATAGTAAAATCTAATAAAAGATACTGTTCAGACAAAATGAATCTTACCCCCAAGGCAAGATCAATTAGTCGGGTTTTCCGGAGATAAATTCACTGTACAGAGCGGGCTTTGGATATAATTGCGGGCTGGAATCTAGGGAAACAAACACCAGATAAATGCAAGATTGAGTGGGTAATCTTGTCCTATCTCAGCAAACAAACGAGCTCTAAGATAATTCTATCTTGGCTATTTGGGCGGATTACTTCAATTCTGGAAGGTAAAAACTCTAATTTTCCCTCATTTTATTTTATCTCAGACAGTTATGATCCTCCTAGATAAATTAAAAAAATACTACAAGTACATAATAAATGTACATAAAAGTGTACACAACACTCACATGTAGTGGGGTCCACTTGATTTTTTATTTTTAGTAGGACCCACTTATGTGAGTGTTATGTACAACTCTATGTAGAGTATAATGTACTTCTAGCATTTCTCATAAACTAATTACAACACCCCCCCCCTCTCTCCGTTTTTAACTATGCAGAGGAAGCTGAAGAAGAGCAAGAAGCTAAAAACAATATGGATGTATGGTTTTGGAGATGGAAATCTGGGCAAAACAAAGAAAGCTGAAGAGGAAGATAACCAGCTTTCAAGCTACAAAGAAACAAAGACCTAGGAGCATACCAATTCCATTAATGGGAAAACCCAAGGTTGACATGAGAAAGCAGAAATGGGGCAAAATTAGAGACTCGAGATCTCAGTCCAAAGAGGAGGGAATTATTTTTACAGAGTTGGGCAGTAAAAGGAGATTTGAAGATTTGGAAGCTATCAATGTAGACAGTCAAGAAAGTAATAAGAAACTCAAAAGCATTTTGAACTATGAGGGCAATGAAATGGAATTGGAGGTGGTGGGTGCCAACCTTAATTGGGCCCCAGTTTCCAAATGAAGTATCTGGCGTGGAATTGTAGAGGATTGGGGGATCCTTTACAATTTCCCAACTCAAGGAGATTGTTAGACTCCACCTCCCAGATTTTGTCTTTCTTAGTGAAACTAAGAAAAAAAATGCCTTTGTAAATACTGTGGCAAAAAATATTAAAAACCTTGTAGGTTGGCAGTGTCAGGCTCCAATAGGTAGGAAGGGTGGTTTGTTTATAGGTTGGAGTTCCAATATTGTTTTGCATAATTGCATTTGGTCTGACTTTTGTGTAGAAGTAGAATTTAGTTGGATGGAGATAGAAGATAAATATTGGGCAACTTTTGTCTATGCTAGCACTGATGCTTCAGTGAGAGTTGATCAATGGGATTTTCTTATCAATGCTAAACCTAAATGGGCTTATAATTGGTGGCTGGGAGGAGATTTCAATGATTTAGTCAATCATGAGGACAAAAAAGGGGGGCAGGATTAGATCAGAAAGAAGCCTTGAGAACTTCAGGAACTTCATCAGGGAAATGGGAATGAGTGAGTTTCAATTCAGAGGTTACCCCTTCACATGGGCAAACAACATAAGAGAAGAAGGCTTTGTGGAAGAGAGAATTGATAGATGCTTCGGGTCACCTCACTGGATGCTAAAGTTCTCAAATGCAGAGGTCCTCCACATCCCTAGACAGTCTTCTGATCATTGCATGATTATGTGGAATTCAAGCCTAGAGAAAAGCAGTATGAAGAGGAGATTTATTTTTTACTAGAGATGGATAAAAAAAGAGAAAGTCCATGATATTATTGTTGAAGCTTGGGACCTGCCGGTTCAAGGGACTCCTCTCATCAAAATTCAGAGAAAGATAACCAATTGCAGGTTGGCATTAATCAACTGGCAAAGAAAGGGGACATCTAATTCTGCTAAAGCAATATCTTTTTGCACTGCAAAGATGGAGGAATTAATGCAACAGGGGGGCAATAAGAATTGGAAATCATGGGCAGAGTTGAATATGAAGCTTAAACAAGCATACAAGGCTGAGGAAAGCTTCTGGAAGCAGAAATCAAGGGTGCAGTGGTTAAAAGAGGGAGACAGAAATTCCAAATATTTTCATGCTTGTGTTGTTCAAAGAAGAAGAACCAATGCTATAGAAAAACTCATTAAGGAATCAAATGGAAGGGAATGCACTACTAAAGAAGAAGTCTTAGAGGAAATTGTAGACTGGTACAAGGATCTTTTCAGTGCTAATCAGTTGGGGGATAATGACAGACTTTTACAGGGTATGCCTAAATCCATCAACTCTGACCAGAACAGAGAACTCACCAAACCAATGACCATGGAAGAAGTTCAAAAGGCTCTCTTTTCTCTGAATCCAAATAAGGCACCCGGCATTGATGGTATGTCCCCTCTGTTCTTTCAATTCTCATGGGAAAAAATTTTAAAACCTGCATCTTTGAAGCTGTAGCCGATTTCTTTTGCTGCTCAAAAATTCCTAAATGTGTCAACCACACTTTAATAACTCTGATCCCCAAAATCAAGAATCCTACCAAGATCTCTCACTACAGACCAATCAGTCTTTTGAATGTGGTGTATAAGCTTATCTCTAAGATCCTTGCATGTCGACTGAAGGCTGTCATTTCCTCTTGTATAAGTCACAATCAGTCTGCTTTTGTCCCGGGTCGACAAATCCTTGATAATGTGGTTGTTGCGCATGAATGTCTCCATTATTTGAAAAATCTCAGAAAAGGCAAAAAAAGTTTTGTTGCCATTAAGCTTGATATGGCCAAAGCATTCGATAGAGTGGAGTGGAAGTTCTTGATCAGAGTTATGGCTCGGTTGGGTTTTGATGACAAATTTATCCATTGGGTGTATAGCTGCATAAGCTGTGTGAACTTTTCCTTTAATCTTGGGGGTGAAGCCTGTGGTTTTGTGAACTCATCAAGGTATAAGACAAGGAGACCCAATTTCTCCATATCTTTTCATTCTCATTTCAGAGGCTCTTTCTAATCTTCTCAAGCAGGCAATCTCCAACAAAAATATGCAAGGGATCAGAATTTGTAGAAAAGGCCCTTTGATTTCTCACTTGTTCTTTGTGGATGATGCTTTGTTGTTCTGTGACACTTCACAAAATTCTATTCAGTGCATGCTGCAGATCTTAAAAGATTATTGTGAAGCATCAGGACAAATGGTTAATTTTGAAAAATCATCATGCTTCTTCAGCAAAAACTGTGAACCAGCAAAAAGAAGAGATGTCTGCAGAATTCTTGGTGGAATGCAAGAACAAAACAAAGGTAAGTACCTTGGGCTTCCTATGGTGATTGGGAGATCAAAAAGAGAAGTTTTCCAATTTGTTGAAGAAGTAACACAATCGAAAATCTTGAACTGGAAAGGTAAATTCCTTAGTGCTGCTGGGAAGGAGACCTTGATAAAATCTGTCATTAACTCTTTGCCTGTGTACATAATGTCATGCTTTAAAATCCCAAAGGAGGTTTGTGACAACATTACCAATAAGGCCAGAAATTTTTGGTGGGGTGGTGGTGCAATTGAAGGATCTAAAAAGCTAGCATGGGTTAGTTGGGATAAGATGTGTGCAACCAAAAATCAGGGTGGCTTAGGATTTAGAAACCTTGAGACCTTTAATGTGGCTCTTCTGGCTAAACAGCTTTGGCGCCTTATCACTAAACCTAACCTACTGATGAGCAAGACGATGAAGGCAAAATATTTCCCAAATGGTGGTATTCTTAATGCTAAAATCAAGCCTCAAGACTCTTGGATTTGGAAGAGTTGCGCAAAAGCTAGAGAGGCACTGTCCCTTGGCTTACAATTGAAAGTTGGAGATGGCAAGAATATTAGGGTTTGGGATTCACCTTGGGTCCCTAACCTAAAAAATTGTAAGCTTCAAGGCCGCATTGGCAGAGTTTCTGAAGTGGAGAAGGGATAGGTTCATCTTGGTGAAAGAAAAAAGTGGCAACTTCTCTGTTAAATCCTGCTATAATGCTGTGCTGGATAGAAAGAAGATGAAGCAAGCAAGCCCGGAGAGCAGTACTGGAGCAGTCATCAAGAAGAAAATGTGGACAACTACATGGAATCTCCAGGTAAAGCCAAAACTCAAAGTATTCCTTTGGAGATGTATCCATAATTCTCTTCCTGTGGCTGAAAAATTGAATATCAAAGGAATTATCTCATCACCTTTGTGCTGTTTCTGTGGGGAAAACTCTGAAAATCAAACTCATATCTTCTTCCATTGTGAGAGAGCTCAAATAGTATGGAAATTATTTCCTGTCCAATGGGATGATGCTCATATTAAAGCAGATAACTTTCTGGCTGGTGGTCAGACATTTGCAATGCCACTAAGGGAGAATGTTGGAAAGATAGATTGGAGCTTTCAGTGTATCTCCTTTGGTGGCTTTGGAGAACAAGAAACCTATGGCTTTTTGAAAAATCTTTGATCTCATAAAATGTCATTGTGAATAAGGCAAGAGAAAAATGGTGGGAATTCAAGAATATCAAATTTTTTAATACAATGGATCTTTGCAATGTTGAGGCTGCTGCTAACACAGTAGGGCAAATTATATTTGTCAGTGCTTGTGTTGTTCCAGGGGTTGGCTGTGGAGTTGGATGCATAGCAAAAAAAGCAGATTCTGAGGAACCAGGCAGGGTGTGGCATCATGCCATTTCTTCATGCTAGAACTTGGAGGAAGCTGTGCTTACAGGTATACAACAAGCCCTTTGGAAATCATTCTTGTTGGATTGGAGGAATATAGAGATTGTGATTGATGATGAGGATATGGTTAGCAAGCTTAATCTGCCAGGAAGTTTCAGTTCCAACTTGAAGACCATAACCGAAGACATCACCCAGCTGGCTTCTCTATTTTCTTGTATTTCTTTTGTTTATTCTCTTCATCCATTTTTTGATTGATGTAATAGTTTGGCTTTAGACTCGGCTCTCTCTGCTTGTACCCATGATTGGGTTGATTGTTTCCCAAGTTGGATCTAAATTTTAGATGTAGCTTGTTTCCTTTGTGATCAGTGGATCACCGATATGTACAAAAACGTTTGTCTTTTGAGTTATATAGATTCTATCGTTTGAAAAAAAAAAAAAAAAAAAAAAAAAAAAATTGAGNAAAAAAAAAAAATGGATAGGTTGGATTTCATAATCACGTATGCTCGAACCCTACCCCAAAAAACAAATAGCCCCTTCCACTAGGCAAGGAAAGACGTGGGAACCATAGGTCCGAACGTCGATGCTGCTTGAAGAAGAAGCACAATCTTTTCCCTCTCAAGGTTCGATCTGCGGAAGTAGCAAACAACTCCGACTGCGAGAACGGTATTTTTTGTATCCATTTTTCTGTTGGGATACAAAGCATTTTTCTGTTGTGTTTTCTATTGATGAGCTCTTTATAGCTATATTAAGTTAATGCACTATATGGGTAAGTCTGCTGGTGTTCGAGCCCCAGTCTACGCTCGTCTAGTGTGTACTTTTGGTGGGGTGTGAATGATGTAAATAGGAGTTCTTATGCTTAGAAATTCGGTTTGATCATGTGGTGAATTTCTGTTTCAGGATATTCGTAAAAGATTGATAGTTTGTATGATTAGTCACTTTGCATCTTTTATTAATGGATACAATAGCAACAGTTTCTGGGGATTATATCTTTTTTTCTTAAGATTTTCATTTTCGAATTCTATGGCATGTATAATGGCTTAAGTTAAATTAATGGTCAACCTAATTTTAATTTCATATTTGGAAGTTTCCTCTTGTGCTTTTGCTTCAGCCTTCAGTAGCAGCAATAGCACATTCATGTATTATTAATGGCATGATTGGTAGGAAGGAATGACATGAGAGGAATGATCATTCCCTTACTCATTCCTAATCCCATGATTGGTATATTTTTTAGGAAGGAATGACCATTCCATTGGGAATGGCAAAACCCATTTCCATGGGATTAACCATTCCATAGTAAATGGAAGGTTTTCTCATTCCCATGTGTGTAGGAATCAACTTTTCAAAAAATAAAATTAACAAATGATAATAAAAAATAAATATATAATATATATTATAAATTATGATTAAAAGATATTAAATAAAATTATTTTTAAAAATAAATTCAAATAAAAAAATTAAAAACTTACTTTTATTTATATTTTAATTAGATATATTAAATACTTATATAAAAATAAAACTAAAAAAACATTTATATATAATTTAAAAATATATTATTTTTTATATATTAAAAATATATTACTTTTAAAAATATATTATTAAAAATATATATATTAAAAATATATTAATATATTTTTAAATATTATTACAAATTTATTATTTTAAAAAATAAAATTCAAATAAAAAAATTGAAAACATACTTTTATTTACTGTTTAATTAAAAAATAAAATATATTATTTTATTTTTATATATTATTAAAAATATATTATTTTTTATATTATTAAACAATATATTATTCTATTTGTATATATTATTCAAAATATATTATTAAAAATATATTATTTTATTTTTATATATTATTAAAAAAGCATTTATATATAATTTATTAAAAGTATATTATTTTTTAAAAAAAATTATTTATTTTTATAATAAAAAATAATAATGTCATTCCATTCCAGTCATATTCCTTCTGCAAACCAAATGCATAATGACAAAACATGTTTCATTCCATTCCCATAATTATTCAATTCTTCAATTCATTCCATTCCTACGAAATTTCATTCCATCATACCAATCATGCCATAATATGTTTCGACCGCGTGATGATTATGTGTTTGGTTGCTATATATATATATAGAAGTGCGGTCAAATGAGAATGAAGCACAATGAAAGAAATAAAAATAATTTTGAACCACTATTTCCATCCCATCAATGACCATGATAAAGTCAAACTTTAATAATAATGGTCAATCATTAATATGTATTCACTAATTATACTTTTGCGCTAGATATGTATATTTTCAATCTGAAAGGGCATACGTTAAAAAAACAATATAGCAAATATACGATATTTTATAGAATAAATATGTATTTTTGTTTTAACAAAAAATATGACGAATCAACCCACTTAATGATTAGGTCGTCACAAGTCTCATACAAGAATTTGTGCAAGAAATTAGAGGAGCCAAAATAATGGTTCTTTTATGTGGAGGAAAGCTACTGAAAGAGAAGTCCTCATGCAGCCAACAATTCTTACTAATAACCACACACATTTTTTTCTTCTGTTGCAGAAAAACACAGAACTCCTATGAAGCCTATTTCCATTTCTGGCATAAACCACAAACACTGCATATCCAAATTTCCTCAACTGGAAAACCTTTCTAATTCGGCCTCTGTGCCCCAGCTAAAAAGTTTGCAATTGAAGGAACACCTTGGTTGCCCATTTCCTCTTGGGCTCGTTTTAATTCTTCGGCATCTGCATGTTTTCCCAGAAACAGATGAGTAACACAGAAGGGGGAAAAAAAAGCAAGAATTCATATGCTGTTAGAAAAGAAGTTCTTTCAGGATATATAGATGATCCCAGGTAGTTGGTGAGAGCTATTGAATATAAAAAAACAAAGAAAAAAAAGATTTTTCTATAGATTGAAAAAAAAAAACAATTCACGGTAGCTATAAATGCGCGGCTCCAACAAAATCAGAAGGCATAAATAAATAAACCCGACATTACTTACACACTAGTTTCAGCATCAAAAACACCAACAAAATCAGAAGGCATAAATAAATAAACCCGAAATTACTTACCCACTAGTTTCGGCATCAAAAACACCACAATTACCATAAATCCAATCATCAAGCCCATAGGGCTTTTCACGATGGACATAACCGAGAAAGGTTCTCGTATCTGAAAATCAACGTCGAGTAATAAGCACACACATACATTTCAGAATGAATAGTTACCCCAAAAAGGAAAAAGAAAGACTGAAAAGTTAGATCTAGAAGCATCGACAAACCTCATAATACTGTTCCTCTCTCATTGGCTCCAAGACAAGCTCGCTAAGTACTCTCCTGTTTTCCGTTAAAGCTGCTTGGACCTTACCAGGATTTCTTGCACTCACATCAACTCGGACCTGCAAAAAAATAAGAAAGGAGACAGATAACGCCAATCAAATCCTTTTTTTCTTTTTCTTTTTTGACAATTAACCAACTAAACAACAAATAGAAAATCCAAACTCACTGGAGAGAAGAAAAAACCGATAGCAGCCACTTCAATGAGATGAGTTCCTGCTGGCACATTATGGCTTGAAAAATAATTTAAGGACAACCTCAAGTCTATTGTTCAACAGTTGTCCCTTTTTTCAGAAATTTAGTAATTGCTTTAGTTACAGTTATCGACACTATCATATCGAATAGAATATGCAGAGTAAAGAGACAAGTACGATAGGATACAATGAAAAATATCCATCAGGCCTTAGGAAGGTGACTTTTTGACCACCGTTGAGAATAATTTTGACATTTGCAATTTTAGCCGGGAGGCCAAATCCAGTTGCACTGAATCCTTGTGAAGCAAAAGCATTGAACAGAGAAAAGCATTGTAAGTCGAATTGAATGATAAAATATAACAGCAGCTCGATGGAAAAAAAAATTAGGAAGTGGATTTGAAATGTAACTACTCTAGGGTAATCATACCACAATCATTGTTCACTCCATAAACTGGGCTCACTAAGCCTGAAGCCATAATGTCTTTTTTACCATATAACATAATCATTCAGCCCATCTTCCTTGTGCATGTGAAAGCATCCTATTGACACACACCATCCTTTGCCACCCACTAACCTTTTCTTTTTTATAAATCTCAGCAAGACAAAGGTGTTTAAGGAGAAAAAAGTGGGGGATTACAGAATTCAGGTTGAAGGATTCAAATCGGGCTGTAATTAGAGCTACAATGAATTTCCTTTAGCATCATCTTTGGCTTTATTTTTCCAGTGGATATCAAACCAATCTAATACTCCAAACTTGTAGATCCAAATATAAACCTATGGGATTGTCCTAAAACTGGCGTTCACACTTCACACTTAAATTAGGTTAATAAGAAAATAAAGTATAAGAACCATACTGCACTCGGCCAATCATACAAGAAGGAAACGTCTTTGGTTAATCTGCAACATACTCGAATCTATTTCAATTACGAAAGGCCTAAAATTGACGAGAATTCCAGTGGCAATTCATGATTGTACAGGAAGAAAATTAGCGAATCAAGAAACTTATGAAGCCATTAAAAGTTCATGTATACAAACCCTTTTACGAAACCAGTAGGGTGAGAGAGCGTACCTGGAAATCTAACTTTACCATTTACACTATATCCCTCGATATTCCTACAAGAAAGGGGATCAATAGCGCGGCCCAGATCAAGTATGAAGATAAACGGAGTGAAAGCATTTGAATAAATGTACAAACCGGGCATAAACAAACAATCTTCGAGATATTTTCAACTGAAAGGAAATTTAAAAATTGAAGCTTATTGAGGAGAAGAAGAGTTACCCATTAGAGATCCCGAGTGCCGAAGGCAGAAAAACTAAGATAAGAGCGAAAAAGGTCAGGACGTAATGCGCTGCCATGGAATTTGTAGAGAGAGAGATCCACAGTTGATAATAACAAGAACCCTAATTTTGATTGAGCAGAGCCCAAATTAGGAGGTGAGGTGAAAAGGTTAATATTAATATGATTACGTCAGCAAGCGTCACTTGGGTATTGCACCATTGTCAAAAGTCAAAACCTCATTCTCAAACTCAATGTTGTGAGTAGGGCTGCAAACGAATCGAGCCGAGTCGAGTATTGATCTTATCGAGCAGGGATCGAATTTTTTTCACACTGCTCGAGTTCGAGCTCGAGCTCGTCGAGCCTTGAATATTGAGGCTCGACTCGACTCGCCAGAAGAACTCAATTACTCGAGCTCGACTCGAGACAGCTCGAATTATAAAGGCTCGAAAAATTGCTCGAGTTCGGCTCGAAAAAAATTCCAACAAACACAGATCATCCATAAATCACAGCCCAACAACAACATTAAATATGTATTAACTTTCACAGCCCATTAAGAAAAGGTCCCTGCTTGAACCATAAATCACTGTCATCCAATTCATTTCTTACTCCCCTGCTTGAAAGTTCAAACCTATTTAACAAAACTGAGTACAAGTACACTGCAAAGGCAAATACCCAACAAATTCCCAAGAGTTAATAATCAAATTATCCAACAGTACAACCAACAAATGTCCAAGATTTCATAATCCAAATTAGCCCAACAAGTTATACACATCAAAAACTTAGTAGTTCGAACTTTCAAAATGACAATAAACATTAAACATCCAGATTCCAAATCCAACACTCCAGCACTCTTAAACCTTCCTCTTCAGCATGTAGAGGTCCAAGTCCAACACCTAGCAATATTCAAGACCTTTCCATCAGAAATGTATTAAGAAGGACACACATTATATTCAAATCAGAAAAGTATCTATAAGAATATAAATTGAACAATAAAAAAAGTGATAACCTTCAAGGAATAGGCAACAAGATTTGTTGGGCTGACTTCACTTTCTATAAAAAAATAAAAATAAAACACAATTCAGAATAAAAAAATGTTTAATCATTATTGGTATTGAAATATGTTCTTAATATTTTAGTGTGTTTACCTTATCTTTTTTCTTGATGCCATGTAGCTTACGACACCAATCACCAGCGCACATCAACATCTCGACAGTTTCTGGTGCCAAGGAGGAACGATATGCATCAATCACTCTAGTTCCGGCACTGAATGTAGCTTCTGAAGCGACCGTGCTGATAGGGATAGCTAAAATATCAGCAGCCATCTACTTTGATGTGTCTTTCCACCACTTGAGTGCATCTAGATTCACAATATCCACACCTGGGTTATCTTTGGCAGTAAGCAAGCCATCCTCAAAGTACAAATCCAATTCATTCTTTTCTGGTCGAACACTCTCAGTGGATGAAACACTCATGAGAAATTCACTCATGCCCGAATAAGGTGCTACAGCTACTGATGATGGACTGGGGTTCGGGCTGGAAGAATTTTTAGTAACATTTTAACCTTGAACCCGAATTATACATCTCGACATACTCATCATATAGATCATATAATGTTTGCCGAACTTTACTTATGTTCAGTTCCACTTCGTAAGAAGGAACATAAGTGGAAAACAATAATTTATGACCTTCATTTTGCTCCTCGGATCCATAATTGCCGCTATGGACATTAACAAATTGCACTCGCCCCAATATTTATCAAACTTCATTTTCATTTTTCGCACCATCGACTGAACAAAATTATCTTCATCATCGGCTTTACTATCGAGTAGCCCTTTCATCCGACAAACTTCATTTAAATATAGATTAGCTGTAGGATAATCACTACCGGATATTGTTGGGTTCGTTAGTACCGTACGGGCTTTAAGCAGCGGAATTTAAAATTTTTCAAAGTAAGTATTTATCCTATAAATACAACACCCGTACATACTAATTGCGAATTAACTGATCGTCATCTTTAAAACATGCATCATATACAAATTTTGATTTGTTATATAAAATTAAGTACCAGTACAAATATTTACCGTATGTCTTGAACTCCTTCAACGACGATGTGGATTGTGGGAATCGGTTCCCGGTTTGATAACTTCAACGGATTGAGGTTACTCACTTTAGGAATCCAAGTGTCTTCCCTCTAAACGTATCCACCCTATGAAGCCCGGTTCCGACGACCTTCCTTCGCTAGTAGGAATGTCTCGGTTTTCTTGTATAGGAATATGTATGAATTTTATTTTGGGAAATTTCAAGAACTCTTTCTTGATGTTTATGAAGAACTATTCTTCTTTCTAACACTTAGAAATTTTAGGAATGAATTTCCCTTAAATGCAAAACCATTTTGCATCTATTTATACTAAACATTTTAGCATAAAATAATCAACATTTAGTAATATTTAAATAAAATCAGATTTTATTTAAATAATATTTACTAACTATTGACTTTGAATTTACTAACTATTGACTTTGAAAATAATAAATAATGTTAAGTGGTTCAAACCACCTTTAACCACCATTTTATTATAATCATATTTATTATTTTAATCCTTAAATCATATTTAAAGATAAAAATAATAATAGAATAATAAATCTTGAGAATCTTTTCAAGACTTTATTATTATATTCATTTTCCCAATTTACATCCATATTATAATAATCATATTATTATTATTTTGGTTTGGAAATTTAAAATCCAATTTTAAATTCCAACATATTAATTTAGTAATTACCTTAATTACTAAAGTAATATCCAAAATGTAATTAATCAATCTTATTGATTAATATATTCCTTTTAATTGATATCTAATCAAATTAGATTATGTCAATTAATTCTAACTCTTTAGAAATACAATTTTTCACCTTTGTTCATAATAGGTGTGACCTTTTAGGTTCACCTTAATACTAGTAGTGGGTTTACAACTCTTTGTAATTTGAGTTAATCACATTAACTCTTATTCATGAATTAACCCTTTAATTCAAGAACCCACATATCATGGGAACACCTAGCAAGTAGCATGAATCTAGTATTAAGTGAATAGCGAGTAAACCTATTCCGATTACAACTCCATACATGTAAAATCCTTTCGACATCTAATTTCCCGATTAAGTCTTGGGTATGATTTTGTCGAAACCCAAATTGACTTAATAACTATGATTCTATTTCAAGTTTATTAACCCTGTTATGAATCACTATTCATCTCTGCCTTGGCCAAGGACTTTGGATTAATAACTATGAAACACATAGGAAATTCACTTATCTTCATAAGTGTCGAATCCTTTATTGGCCACTAACAAACTTCCATACATATTAACATAATACCCAACTTATCCCTTTAAACGATAGTGCTAGCTACCAAAAAGATAAATCAAAGTAGAATGTAATATGCACAAAGTTACCATTGTGCCTCAAGTCTTAGGATTAGTCATGTACTATTGTAACATGAAAATTCTTATTCGACTGAATAAATTCTTCATTAAGAATTTTCATACGGTCATGTTCAGTGAACTTGTTCTCTAACAAGCACCCACATAAATGTACTTACGTCTTACGCTAATGTTGATGGAATGCAACATTCTTGTCCAACAAGCATACAAACTATGTGCAAGTCTTTTATGGATTATTCGATATCCCATCTCGAAACATCCATCGACTTGGAACTGTATTTAAGATCACGGCTTTCAAGGTATGTTCCATGATCACCATCTCTATGCGCAACCATACCTTATAACCATAAGTGATCTAGGGATTTTATCTTAAGTGCAATTATAAGATAAATGCTTTCTCTTAAGATAAAGAAATGCCTTATTCATAATATAATTCCAATAGACTGTATTTACAAGTAGAATACGTCCAATTAGATTGGAACGCCGGGTACCCTACTCTAACAGATATCACATGAGTAGCTGTCCAAAAAACTTGCAAAATATTACAAACCTTCTCCACTTTATCCCAATCCTCGGCAGTTGGACATTGTCCGAAATGCTGCTCTCTATCTTTGAATCGAGGAAAAACTTCTCGATACTTGAGTGCACAAGCCAACATCTCAAAGGTTGAATTCCATCTTGTCTTGCAATCATAGATTAACACCTTTCCAGGTAAGTGCAACTGCTGGACAATTTGAGCAAAGAGAAGACGTCGCCCATCTGTTTTGTTTATGAAATCCACCTTACTTCTTATCACATCCACAATATCCTTGATTTCACCAATGCCATCTTGGACCATTAAATTGATGATATGCGCACAACATCGTACATGAAATAACTTCCCTTTTGCCAACAGAAACTTGTTTTTCGAAAAGATATCCTTCAAGGATCTCAATGCCGTGTCATTGTTTGAGGCATTATCCACCGACACCGTATAGATTTTACTCTCAATGCCCCACTCTTGCAAACATTTGAATATAGAATCTGCAATTTCGACACCGCGGCGTGGAGGGGGAATATGCACAAAGTTGAGGACTCGTTTTTGCAATCTCCATTGGCTATCGATCCAATGCCCTGTTATCACCATATATTCAATCTTCTGATTTTTTGACTTCCAAAGATCTGTGGTCAAGCTGATTTTTTGGACTTTCTTGAACAAATTTTTCAATTTGGACTGCTCTCTCTCGTATATCGCTTTGCAATCATTTTTGTTTGCAGTTCGGCTGATCTTTTGCCATTCGGGTATTCCTCTTTTCAGCATCAGGTTGAATCCATCTTCCTCGACAATTGAAAAAGGATGCTCATGCATTAGTACCCATTCGGCAGTGGATTCTCTCATGGCAGCCATGTCAAATTTACCAGTATGAAGATATGGATGAGGTGTGCTTGAATCGGCTGATGGAAAATTAATCTTTTGTTGTTGCGGTTGCCTCATTTTTCTTAATCTCTCGGTGCACGACGTCAGGTGCCTCAGCATACTAGTTGTTGTGCTCGTCTTGGTTTTCTTCAGTTTTACTTTGCAATGTTTGCACTCACAATATTTATCGACCCCAACGTCTACTTCTTTGAAATCTTTCCAAGCTTCTGATTTTTTTGCCCTTTTCTTTTTTCTGAATGCATCTAGAGAGTCAATGTGGTCAGCCGTTTCATTGGGGTCTTCCTCGATCTCCT